CTAGAATTTCCTAAGCGCACAATAGCTACATTTTGCTATCATGGTGCATTTATTCTTCACACTTATAACCTCTTTCTCTCTCTTTTTTTCCCTCACCCACCTTAAGAGCTCAGGATGGCTTATCTGGGATATTCCATTTTAGTCTGACAGTGAACCTATAACATAGATCAAGCAGTGATTTTAAAGCTCAGAAAGTGATTTGAACCCTTCTCGCTTTAATCCAGGAGGAGATGATTTAGACTTTCCCAAGCTTCCTTGTTCTTATCCTAGAATCTCGAGAGCAAAGCTGTACCAAAAAAAAAAAAAAAAAAGGAGCTTTAAGATGTGATATTTTCATACCAGGGATTTATTTTAGGGGACTGGAAGAGTTTAAATACCTTCTACCCCAAATTCTTCTCCTGGTTTCTGGAAATATTTCTTCATTTCTTTTGTATAATTTAAAGATAAATTTGAGGATACGTTCTTACGTTAAGGATAAAGTGAGGATAAATTTAAGGATGCATTGATACCTTAAGGATGAATTAAAGATAAATTGTAGGTGTGATTTTGTGACTCTCACACCCCAAAAGTGGGAACCCCTGTCAAATTATCACACATTCCTCTTGAGCTGATCAGTAAATCCACATGTTTTCTCCAAATTTATCACCCTTCTCACTTTTCACCCTTCTCACTTATAACTCGTCTGAAGGGATACCAGCAGTAAAGAGAAAACATTATCATAATAACAACAGCACCAATATCAACAACAATTCTCTCCGGCATGGGGATCAGGACCCTGTGAGATATGATTAATTATTGTCAACGGTGTATCCACAGCTGCCTCTTTTTCCTTTTCTTCTTGTTAGTGTGTATTTTTTTTTCCATGTTAATTTTGTATGGATTTAACGACAGCTTGAACTGGATTCCCTCACCCAGAGTTGAGTAACATAAGCAAAGAAACAAACAACAACAATGATATTATTATATCTTTTTTTTTCATATTGTAAGGTTAATAGCAAGATGCATGGCATATAAATGTAATTAATAAGTAAAATAGATAAATAAACAGCAATATGGCAAAATTGATTATTTTATTTAAAGAGGAGAATATACTTGAGTATGTTTTTCATTTGGATACCACTTCTGAATTTTGTCCTTGTGACGAAAAAATATTTACGTGATTTTGACTTTGGCTTTGCCGATTAGATAGATTTTCTGTTATAGAAATAGCTAGTTATATATTAATGTGTAAAAATGAAAAGTTGAGGCTAGAGTGCTTTCATTTTGTACTGTGCTAAAAAGAGTCGGAAGTCAACCCCCCCCTTTTTTTTTTCTTTCCCCTTGTACCTCACACTTTCTCTTCCCCTTTTCTTTTCCCTCCCTTAATTTCTTATTTCTCCTTTTTCTTTGTATTTTATATTTTATATATTAAATAAAATTATTTAAAAAAGAAAAAATAATATTAATACAGAATGTAATAAATAAATAAAATAAAATTATTATTATTATTATTATTACTATTATTATTATTATTATTATTATTATTATTATTATTATTATTATTATTATTGGAGTACCACTTGAACACCATTGGCATTGACAAATTCGTTATCAGTCAATTGCAAAAGGCGGCCTTACCAGGAACTGCTTCCATCCTGCGACGATACCTGTAATACCATCAAACATCCACATCTGCCTATCCCAGGTCCTGGGTAAGGACTCGATAGGTAGACAAAATGCCAAATCCAGTCTGAACATCTGGCTGACTGTGCGATGATCATAATAATAATAATAATAATAATAATAATAATAATAATAATAATAATAATAATAATAATAATATAATAATGTCCACTGTTTCTTCAGCTTCTTTGCATAGGCGGCACTTACTGTCTGTTGCTGTCTTCTCAATTTTGACTTTGTATGCATTTGTCCTTAAGGCTTGGTCTTGTGCAGCCAGAATTAGTCCCTCGGTCTCTTTCTTCAATTTTCCTGCTCTTAGCCATTGCCAGGTTTATTATTATCTGCTTTCCCAGCTATTTTTTTAATGTATTGGCCATGTAGTGCTTTGTCTTCCCATGCCTCTATTCTGTTCTTCATTTGGTCTTTCTTGTAGGCCAGTTTGGTCTCTCCAGTAGTTAGTAAGCCTTCCTGATATACTAATTTCAGTGCATCTTCATCATTGTTCTTCAGATATTCTTCCAAAGCCATTTTTTCTTCTTCAACCATCTGATGTACTTGTAGCATTCCACGCCCACCTATTTGCCTTGGTAGATAAAGTCTATCAATGTCACTGCGTGGATGAAGGGCGTGATTCATTGTCATTATTTTTCTGGTCTGCCTATCCATTGCTTTTAGTTCTGCTTGAGTCCAGTCCACTATTCCAGCTGTGTATCTAATGACTGGGATTGCCCAGGTGTTGATTGCCTTTATGGTATTTCCTCCATTGAGTTTGGATTTTAAGATCTTCTTCACTCTCTTGATGTATTTGGTAAGCTGTTGCAAGAAGATTGCACAGACTGATTACAAGCAGCGACATGACAAAGTAGCAACAATGGTGCATTGGAAGATCTGCAAAAAATACCATTTGCCTGTAAGCAAAAACTGGTGGGATCATAAAATAGAGAAAGTCATAGAAAATGATAAAATTAAACTGCTCTGGGACTTCAGAATTCAAACAGACAAGCACCTGCAACATAACACCCCAGACTTAACAATTGTCGATAAGAAAGACAAAAAAGTCTGGATAGTGGACGTGGCAGTGCCTGGAGATAGCAGAATAGAAGAGAAAGAACTGGAGAAGATAACAAAATACAAAGACCTACAAATAGAAATAGAAAGACTGTGGCAAAAGCAAGCAAGGGTAGTACCAATAGTCATAGGCTCCTTGGGTGCAATCCCAAAACAACTGGAGCACCACTTGAACACCATTGGCATTGACAAATTCGCTATTAGTCAATTGCAAAAGGCGGCCTTATTAGGAACTGCTTCCATCCTGCGACGATATCTGTAATACCATCAAACATCCACATCTGCCTATCCCAGGTCCTGGGTAAGGACTCGATAGGTAGACAAAATGCCAAATCCAGTCTGAACATCTGGCTGACTGTGCGATGATTGATAATAATAATAATATAATGCAGAACTTAGAGCTGGACAATGCTGAGAAAAGAGCTCAGACCTTAAAAGTTAGACCACTCTTTCCATGTGTAATTCTATAGGCATTAATTTGGAAGAAAATGTAATTGAATTGGAGAGAGAGAGACACTTGAGCAATTTTTTTTTCATTTTGTCTTCTCGGCTTTGCTTTTCTTCATTACCTTCATCCCCAAGTCATTTCTCAGTCCTCTGCAAAGCAGCACGCTTTCCTTCTTGTCGTTTATGTTGTTATTTTCCTCCATCCCTCCTTTCTCTTCTTTTCTCTTTGTGTTGCCCCTTTCTCTGGCTTCCTTCTATGCATCACAGTTAGGAAAGAAAACTATTTTGTTATTTAGGAATGGAGGGGGGGGGTCTGGATTGGAGAAAAGGCTATACGCTTTCTTGCGGATGAGAATCAAAGCTTCAGTGGCCCGGAAAGATTGACTGAATGTCAGGCAAATATTTGAAGTGATGGGGTGGTGTTGCTTGCCGAGTCTGGTTTCAGCCCTCTTGTTTGTTTCTTTTACTTTGCTGGTGGGGTGTTAGTAAAGTCACACCAGACAAAGCAGATCACAGGGGTTGAGGAGACGTGTAACTCCCTATCCACACTTGGCTGTAAACTATGGGGTGGAGCAAGCCATGAGGTGTCTATGGGTCCCTTCCTTTTGGAAAAGCGGGCGCTGGGGGGGGGGACAGAAAATTGGATTTCCATTTTTAAATGCCAGGGAGATCAGAGAAGGCAGACGGGCCATGTGGATTTTGCTGGAAAGTGTTTGGGAAGGTGTGTGGGGGGAAGCTATGAATTGATGGGGGGGATGGTGGTGAAGAAATTCACAGGACAAGCCGATATTTGGCCAGGCAGACTTAACACGGAGGTGCCTGGGTCAGTTTCACACCCACATGTCAGTGTGTACACGTGTAAAGTGTGAAGGCTTGTGGGGAGGGAGAGGAAGAAAAAGGAGGGCGACTTGGGAACAATTTTCACTCCCACGTGAGAAATTGTTAACACATCTTCTCTTCGGTTTAAAAAAATGGAGTGACAAACAAAGATGAAGTTTAGGAACGGAAGAGATTCTTCATATAAAATCTTAAGGCATGATCTGGCAGAGATCGCATTTTATTCATTTTTAAATTTTATTTAGTATTTATTTTTTCCGCATTTATTATTTTATAAATAACTCAAGGTGGCGAACATAGCAAATACTTTTTCGTTCTCCTAGTTTCCTCACAACAACCTTGTGAGTTGGGATGGGCCGAGAGAGAGAGAGAGAGAGAGAGAGAGAGAGAGAGAGAGAGAGAGAGAGAGAGAGAGAGAGAGAGAGAGAGAGAGAGAGAGACTGGTCCAAAGTCACCCAGTCAGCTTTCATGCCTAAGGCAGGACTAGAACTCACCAACTCCTGGTGATTAGCCTAAGTCACCCAATTAGCTTTCCTGATTAGGTGATTCACTATCTCCTGGTTGCCCAATCTCTTCTTAAAAATTTCCAGTGTTGGAGCATCCATAATTTCTAGAGGCAAACCATTCCATTGGTTAATTGTTCTAACTGTCAGGAAATTTCTCCTTAATTCCAGATTATTTCTCTCCTTGATTCGTTCCCATCCGTTGCTTCCTGTCCTGCCTTCAGGTGCTTTGGAGAATAGCTTGATTCCCTCTTATTTGTGGCAGCCCCTTAGATATTGAAACACTCCTTAATAGCTATATATATTCTATTAATATATACTTAAATAGATAAATAAATTGCAAATTATCTAAAAAAACAATCAGGAGATTTTGCCCAATTTCCTACATATCCCTCTGTAGATCATACCGGACTAGAAAGATGACTGTTTCTATCAATCTCTATCCCCTTTGTATGTAAATATATCTGCTTCTTCTTCTTGCAGCCACAACTGGTAGCGACCCCAGCCTGTCCCCGGATTCGCAAGACCCTTGCCAGGATGACAGCAAGGATTTGGAAAGCGCCAATATCTCCGACAAAGAAGTGGGCAGCAATGAGAACGACGACCAAAACCTGGGGGCCAAAAGGAGAGGGCCCCGCACCACCATTAAAGCCAAGCAATTGGAGACCCTCAAAGCAGCATTTGCTGCCACTCCGAAACCCACCCGGCACATCCGTGAGCAGCTGGCACAGGAGACCGGCCTTAACATGCGTGTCATCCAGGTATGAACATTTGAAGAGTAGGGAGGGAAAATGGTGGGATGCCGTGACTATAAGGGGAAGCCAACTGTGGTCCAGATCTTTTGAAGTTGGCTCAAGATGAACTGGCTGGATTCAGTTCGGGGACTTCTGAAAACTGACAGCGGCTTGCATGGAATGCGTTCAGATCTTCACCCGTTGGGCTGAATTGATTGTTTGGATATCTGCTTTTCTTCGGGTTGCTTCTTAAAATTTCTCACCCAGTTTTCTAGGATCCGAGCAGAATAAATGTTCAAAAACATCATTACTCTCTTTAGAAAACAAGTTACGTGGCAGCATCAATGCACTTAGAATTGTATCAGATTTTATAATTCCGTTGCAAAAGATTCTAAGACTTCAAGGATTTTTCCAGTGGGAAGGTATTGGACTAAGTCTAGGGAGATCCAGGTTAAGTCCATATCCCTGCAGTAATTTGTTTGATTGTTGTCGCCAGGGGGCAGGGGGTTTATTGGGCTTTGTATTGGGATTTTATTTCTGTAAGATGCTCCAAGTCACCATGAGTGAGTTGGGCACCCGTATAATTTTTTTATTAAATAAATAAATAGAATGAATAAACTCAACCAACTTCTGGCTATCGCACAGGGTTATTTTGCGAGGATAAAATGTAGGGATAGAGTCAGTTTGGTCTAGTGTTTAAGGCACCAGGCTAGAAAGCAGGTGTCAACATCCAGCTTGAGAAGCCAAATGAAACACCAGGTTGTTTCCATCTCTGAAAATCTTACTGTTTATTGAATACATTGCATGGTTATGTCAACGCAAAACTAACTCTGAGGTTCCAACACCAATTCATAGACTTAAACAATAGTTTTCTCAGCCAAACCCCCAACGTCTTACGTAGTCCATATAAGCAAGTTCACTTAGTTATGGGAACTGTCTGCTTCAAATCCACACCTGTCCTTAAAGAGGCTTCAGGCTCTCATGGTCTTCAGCTGAATCATAGAAGTTTCGTTTCTCCATCTAACCCACTTGAAAGTAACACCTCCCCCCTTTTAATTTAAAGACAAGTTGAATCACAGAGGTACATAGCTGCCAAAGTTTCATCTTTGACAGCAGGAAACTGTGAGTTCAAGTCCTGCCTTAGCTGTGAAAGCTGGTGGGTGACTTTTGTGACCTATCACCAGGAGACTTTGAGTTCTAATCCTACCTTACCCATGAAAGCTGGCTGCGGGACTTTGAGCCATTCACGCTCTCTCTCAACCCAGCCCAACTCACAGGAATGGTTGTGGTGATTAATAAGAAGCAGAAAGTGTATTGGATATGTTTGCTGCTTGAGTTATTTGTAAAAATAATAAAGGCAAGATGCAAATGAATAAATATTTCCCTATAGGTTGCCTTGGGCTCAAAGAGAAAATACGTTTATACATCTGAGATAGAATTACTACTTTTATTAGAACAAGATGAATATGCACATAGTCCTTGACGTACAGCCACAATGGAGCCCAAAGTTTCTGTTGTTAAGTGAGATATTTGTTAAGTGAGTTTTGCCCCATTTTAAAACCTTTCTTGCCACAGTTGTTAAGTGAATCACTGCAGATGACAAGTTAGTAACCCGGTTGTTAAGAGAATCTGGTTTCCCCATGGACTTTGCTTGTCTGAAAGTCGTAAAAGGGGATCACATGACCTTGAAACCCAGCAATGGTCATAAATACGAGCCATTTGCCAAGCGTCTGAATTTTGATCACATAATCATGGGGATGATGCAAAGGTTGCAACTGTGAAAAATGGTCATAAGTCCCTTTTTTCAGGGCCATTGTAACTTTGAATGGTCACTAAATGAACGGTTGTAAGTCGAGGACTACCTTTATATGACACTTGTATTGCATTTTTCTGAGCCCCTTCTTTCCAAATGATGTAAGACAGAGTTCCCCAATCTTTCCAGCTTGGCAACCTGGAAGGAAAGGGAGCAGCAGGGAAATGTACATGCGCGTGGCGTCGTGTGTGCATTCACAAACAGATGCGCACATGACGGTGCTGCTAGCATGCACGTGCATGCGCAAGTGGGCCATGCACACCCATGTCACATGGACTGGCACCTGTACGCATGCGCAAATGGGGCCACTAGGGTCCGTGTGGCGGTGCCACCGCAAGTTGGATGGGGCTCGCCAGCTATTCCCAGGGCCTGATGGCCAACAAGCCATGGCCCGGGACTGGGCCACGGACCATAGGTTGGGTATCCCTAATGTAAGATAAAGCTTCTATCCCCCCCCCCTTCTCACCACCCACATGATTGTCACAAGAAGATTGTTTGGTACTAGTAAACATTAAATTGAACTAATTCAACAATGGAGACGGGGAAAGATTTTAACCCAAGTGTTGCTACAATGCAGGCATGGGAAGGCATAATGCACCCCTGTTGTTGTTAGTTGCGAAGTCGTTTCCGACCCATCGCAACCCCATGGACAACATTCCTCCAGGCCTTCCTGTCCTCTACCATCTTCTGGAGTCCTTTTAAGCTCACACCTACTGCTTCAGTGACTCCATCCAGCCACCTCATTCTCTGTCATCCCATTCTTTTGTTGCCCTCAATCTTTCCCAGCATTAGGCTCTTCTCCAGTGAGTCCTTCCTTCTCATTAGGTGGCTGAAGTACTTGAGTTTCACCTTCAGGATCTGGCCTTCTAAGGAGCAGTCGGGGTTGATTTCCTCTAGGACTGACCGGTTTGATCGCCTTGCAGTACAGGGGACTTGCAGGAGTCTTCTCCAGCACCAGAGTTCAAAGGCCTCAGTTCTTTGGCGCTCAGCCAAATGCACCCCAAATGCACATATAGAAAAATGCATAGCCATATGCACATACTGACATGTACACATATCACACATATACCTGAGTACAGACATGTATACATACAGTCATGTGAAAAAGAAAGTACACCCTCTTTGAATTCTATGGTTTTACATATCAGGACATAGTAAAAACCATCTTTTCCTTAAAAGTAGATAAATACAACCTCAGATGAACACCAACACATGACATAGTACACTGTGTCATCATTTACGGGTAGTCCTCGGGTTACGACCACAACTGAGCCCAAAATTTATGTTGCTGAGTGAAACGTTTGCGAAGTGAATTTTGCCCCATTTTACGACCTTGCTTCACCATTGCAAAGTGAATCACTGCAATTGTTAAGTTAGTCACACGGTTGTTAAATGAATCCGGCTTCCCCCCTGACTTTGCTTTGTCAGAAGGTTGCAAAAGGGGATCACATGACCCTGGGACATTGCAACCGTCATAAATACATGCCAGTTGCCAAGCGTCTGAATTTTGATCACATGACCATGGGGATGCTACAACAGTCGTAAATGTGAAAGTGGTCATGTCACTTTTTTTCAGTGCCATTGTAACTTTGGTCATTAAACAAACTGTTGTAAGTCAAGGATTACTTTTATACCCTCTGAGTTCTATGGCTTTACGTATTAGGACATAGAAAAAAACCATATTTTCCTTAGCAGTTCTTAAAAGTAGATATATACAACCTCAGGTGAACGATAACACATGACATATTATACCATGTCATTTATTTTACAAAAAAAGAAAGCCAAAATGAAGAAGCCATGTGTGCAAAACTAAGTACACCTTCATTGTTTGCATAGGTATGAACAGATTAAGCAACAGCCAGGTGCTGCGAATAGAATAGAATAGAATAGAATAGAATAGAATAGAATAGAATAGAATAGAATAGAATAGAATAGAATAGAATAGACAGAGTGGGCAGGGACCTCTGAGGTCTTCTAGTCCAACCCCCTGCTCAGGCAGGAAACCTTATACCATTTGAGACAAATGATTGTCCAGTCTCTTCTTTAAAACGTTCAGTGTTGGAGCATTCACCGCTTCTGGAGGCAGGTTGTTCCACTGATTAATTGCTCTAACTGTCAGGAAATTTCTTCTTAGTTCTAGGTTGCTTCTCTCTTTGGTTAGTTTCCATCCATTGTTCTTGTCCTGCCTTCAGATACTTTGGAGAATAGCTTGACTCCCTCTTCTTTGTGGCAGCCCCTGAGATATTGGAACACTGCTATCATGTCCTTCTCTTCATTAAACTAGACATACCCAATTCCAGCAACCATTCCTTATATGTTTAGCCTCCAGTCCCCTAGTCATCTTTGTTGCTCCTCTGTGCATTCTTTCTAGAGTCTCACCATCTTTTTTACATTATGGTGACCAAAACTGGATGCAGTAATCAAGTGCCCTTGATCAAATGATCATCAGCAAGTGTGACTACCTCTATAAAAGCCAAAGTTTTCAGAGTTTGCTGGTCTCCAGCACTGAGGTGGAGAATGATTAGGGAATTCTGGGAGTTGAAGTCCACACAGCTTCAAGATTAAGAAACACTGTTCTATCCTATTGATGTTTGTAGGTGTAGGTTGCCTGTTCCACTTGTAGTACTATCAACTGGTAATATGCATTTAAGTGTGATTGCAGTTAGGGGTGGCAGAGAAAGGATTAAGTCAATGTTTGATCAGGAGAGATGAGTTTTGAGAGACAAGGGGCAGATAGTCTATTTTTTGCTATTCCAAAAGGGACCACAGAAATGTGCTAACATTGTTTGAGGTGAGAATTATATGATTTGTAAGCCAATATATGTGGAGGATCATTGATTGGGGAAGGTGGCTTCATAAAGTTTAGGTCAGTTGGAAAGAATGAATGAATATTGTCCTGTCTAAGTTTTAAAGTATGTGCATAGTCCTTGAAACATACCAGAATAACAGAGATGGAAGGGACCTTGAAGGTCTTCTAGTCCAACCCCCTGCTCAGGCAGGAAACTCTACACCATTTCAGACAAATGGCTGTCCAGTTTCTTAAAAACCTCCAGTGTTGGAGCATTCACCACTTCTGGAGGCAGGTTGTTCCACTGGTTAATTGTTCTGACTGTCAGGAAGTTTCTCCTCAGTTCTAGATTGGGAAAAGTCTTCAACCTGGAAAATGACTGATCAGCGATGCTTTGCCATTTCAGTACAGTAGTCACAAAAAGGTCTTCAG